AGACCCTAAAACAGATTCTTCCCCTGCACCCCACTGTTCCTTATCCACCAGATTAAAGAGTCTGATCCTATTATCAGTGTATTTGGTCTTTCATTTTATGAAGCTGCTTGCAGATCTGTTATAACAATTTACATGTTAAATAGCTTAATTTTGCACAGGGGCAACTGAGCAAAATAGAGGCTACTGTGATATTTTCAATAAACGTTAATTTATTAAAATGTGTCTTGATGAAGTGCAACTTGGAGAGTTTGAACCTGGATTACGGTGGGGAAGCTTTATCTTGCTTCGGAGATGCAAGGAGATGCTGATCTCCCATTGATCATATAAAAGCTCTGCTTAACATTTACACAGAGGTGTTTACATTTCAAGGATTCTGAATGCATCTCCATGCATTTTTCAAAAGCTAAGAGCAGAAATCGTGCAGAGTGGCTTAAGCCACCTGTACGGTGAGGTAGATATTCCCTGTGTAAACAAGATGCCAATTGCTTCTTGCAGTCCCCTGCAAGTTTGCCCTGCAAGTACGTGTTGTGCTGGGAAACTGCAGCCCAAGCTTCTGCTGGCCAGTAACAAGAGCAGTGGGGTGGGTGTTGCAGCTCAGTTGGAGCTAGATTTAAGTTGTAAACATTTCCAGCAAGTGTGCCATGTCTAGGAAGAACAGTTGGAGGAAGGAATTGTCCAGTTTGGAAGAAAAAAAAAAATAACAGGACTTGGCCTGTGCAAAACTGCTTCTCATGAAAAATAGCTGGAGTCTGTGCCTGTGGAAATCAGGTTTGGCAGTGAAGATCGCAGGAAATGTTACAAATAATGCAATCACAGACAATATCTGTGACTTTAAACTGATAATGAGTTATAGATCTGTCAGGGACAACAGTTTGTTCATCTCATGAAATTGGGCTTAATCTTATTTCCTTTCCAGTATTTTCTGACCTCATAAGCTTTTATAATTGGGGAACATAAAGCAGTGAACTGGAGTTCCTTTGTTTCAGGAGTTTAAAAAGCCATAGGACTAATTTTCTTCCCATTAATCTGGGTTATAGGTTTCTCAGCAGCGTTACAAGTAGTTCGTGTTCCGCTCTTGGCATTCAGAAGGGCTTGAAGGTACCCTGCTTAATTTATCCACGCACTTAATAAATCTGGCCGCAGCAGGCTCCTGCGTTGGCTGAATCAAAAAGGTGAGGATTGGTAATGGTGCTGGAAACCAGTAACAGGGAAACAGAACAGCTTCCCTCACCTCAGTGGGAAAAACGTCCTGATCACCAGTCCTGCTTCTGATGGCTGGGACCATGTTATCCAGAGAGTGTTCTGCGGGGTGCTCGGTTTGAGGTTTAATAAGGCCGGGCTCCTCCCAGACCTGTTAGGCTGTCCCGTTTGGTTGATAGGTTAAACTGAGGAGCAAATTTTTAAAAGGAATAAATCCAAAGGGAGGTGGGAATAAAAAAAAGCTCAGTATGGTGCAAAGCAGCTGTGCTGGGCAGCACTGATGCTTCTGTGACGAACTGTTCTGTAGGGACAGGACTGGATGCAAAGATCTGCTGCTTCTCTTCCGAGAGCAGCTGAGATGAAGAGTAATTGTCCATCAGCTACGCTGCCGTCTGCTTTACCTTCAGGGAATGCCAAGCAATTTGCCACCCATCTGATATCACAAATGCAAATGGCCAGCTTGGTTTACAGAAGGCAATGAAGCTCTGCCAATTTACACTGGTAGCAGAATTTGGCCCCAGACAGCCCAATTTTCGTTTCACCAAGTGAGAATAGACTCATACTGTGGCATTAACACCGATCAGGCTACTTGTGGTTGCTGCGAGTAAAAATAAGAGGAAATAAGGAAAACCTAAGCATGTGCTCTGCAGGGGTGTTGTCTGGCAGCCTCCGACAGCAGGCAGTACCTCACTGCCACAGGTATCGCTGTCCCCACAAAGCCCCTGGCAGGAGATTGTGCAGTAAGGGCAGCGTTAGTGGAGTTTTCTCCCACTGCTGAGGCCACTGGACTGGGAGCTCAGTGGGGTGGTACCAGGGTTCGTGCTGGCCCTAGGCAGAACACACAAGTAAGGGAGCAAAACCCTTTTTCTGCCTGTGGACCTCTGTGATGGATTTACCTCGTTTTGACTGGCAGGAGCCCAAGGTCAGCATTAGGCGTGAATGCTGGGGATTGTCTTTTAATCTCCGCAGCACTTGCAGCCCGTGCAGTGTTTACATCAGACTTGTTCTGTGTTGTGCTTCTCAGATCACATCGTTCCCCAACATGCAGATTGGGAATGTGGATTTGCAGAAGGGAGCATGTGCCAGGCTGCCTGGGCTACTGAGAGAGAAGGAAAGGGGGGCCCCGCTGCTGTAGCTGTTTCCCCCAGCACCCAGGAGGTGCAGGAGCACCTTTGGGAGGGCAGCTTGGCCACGGCCAGGACCAAACAGGCTGCTGCCTCCCTCCCCTGCAGGAGTTGCTGGGGCAGAGCTGAGTCGCTCAGCCTTGAATGAGAGCGGAGGGCACCTGGTGAGTGCTCTGAGGCACCTACACTGATAGTAGGAAGAGCAGGGCAGGCAGGAGACAGGGATATGTTTAACGTGAGCCCCACTCAGCAGAGGCGAACCTGATTACAATTCCCATGAGCTTCAGAGACGGAAGCGCGTCTCATTCCAAGCATTTCCCCAGGAGTGCCCCAGGACAGCAGCGACGGACGACCTTGCCCCTAGGTCTGCAACTGCCCTGTATATGAAGGAGGCTTCTCAGGAACCTGCTGCCCTGTGGCACTGGAAGCATTTCAACATGTACATAGCGAACATATATTTCTCATCCCTCCAATGTCCTAGGCTTTGTTTCCTACTCTACCACATAAGCCCTTAATTTGAAAAATGCTTTGTGGACACTGCTTAATTTTTCACAAGAGAAAATGAAAAAAAAAAAAAAATGAGGTCAATCTTGTCAATGTTTTAAATAGCAGAAATGTGCTGGTAGCAGGCAGCAGTAGCATTAACATGACACTCACGGTGTCCCCACAAATCATCTGCCAACTTTCATTGTTGCTGTCCTCTTTCTTCTTTCCAGGCGGAGAATTCTAGAAGAATGTTTAAAATATATCAGAAACAATCTGGGGCTTAATTATATGCTCTCTGCTGATTCAGTTGCCTCAGGAGGTGTAGTTAGTAATTAATTAGCACAGCATGCTCATGTGCTTCATACCAGTATCGCTCACCAGGGTCCGTGTCCCTAGCCTTTGCCCCACAGGAGCCCATGGCTCAGGAAAGCCACTTTCACTGGCTTTCTGTGGGGACCCACAGTGACCCCATCAGCAGGACAGGCACCCGCATGCTGCCGTGGGGCCCAACATGACACACGGGGGTTTCTTTTGCTGTGGAGGCTGGAGGAGGATGTGTGCACAGGGCAGGAGGTGCCTGTGCTAACAGAGAGGAGCCAGCGTCTTGCTCAGGTCATCAGGGCGCCATCCAGCAGAAAATCTGGCTGGGTTGCCAGCAAATGCAAGATGCCCAAAGGAGGGGAGCGCTCTGACACGTCCCTCTGAACACTGGCCTCAGTTCTCATTTCCAGCCCATGTGCAGCCACCACATATTTTCCACCAGGTGCAGCTGATAAAACCAGGCAATTCATATCACAGATTTCTGAATCACACTCAGGCTACTTTGTTTTGTTTTGTGTTTTGTATTTCCTTTGCTTTTGAGAATATGAACCCTGGGGCATTTACAAAGAAAATCCCATTTCGTGTGTGCTGCTTTGCTTGCAGCTATTTGGTTTTCTTCTTTAGGCGCTCCTGGCTCACAGAAACGACAGTCAGATTTGCAAAGTCTTTTATTTGCATCTCCTGCTCTGAGCCACAGAGCTTAGCCCGGCAGTGCAGGTCTCTGTCTGCTCCACATGGCCCTAATGTCATGACCAAAGCAGCCTGGTAACTTTTTAAAAGCCAGGGGCTCCCGAATTGTACTGCCACTCACAGTCAGCACAGTGATCAGGGGCTGACCCCAAAGCTCTGCTGCTCGAGTGGTGATTCCTGGGGTCAGGGGAGCAGTGATGTACCCCACTCACACATCACAAGGAGTTTCCTGGCGTGTTTGCCTCTTGGCTTTCACCTGGGCTCTTAGAGCCGTGCTCCCTGCATGCTGTACGTACTCCCTTGCTGCCTGGTAGCGCTCCCGTTGTGCTCGCCCTGAGCCTGACCTTCCTCCGTTAAACACGGATGGCACTGTCCCCAGCATATGGCACGATGGCACTGTCCCCATGTGGCACGGGCAGGACGAGTGGTGCTGTTTACTCTTGGAAGCCTGAGGATCTCCTCTCCCCCTCACTACCCACAGCCCGATAAGTGTTACCACCCTGCGGGCTTGTGCCCCCTCACGACACCCTGCCCCTCCTGGGGCTGCGAGTTACACCCGTGGCTGTTGGGACCCTGAGGGGCAGCCATTGGGACCACTGTGAGGGGTGGCTGCTGGGACCCCAAGGGGCAGTTATTGGGACCACCATGAGGGGTGACTGCTGAACCCTCAGGGGCAGCTGTTGGCACCCTGAGGGGACCCGTTGGGACCACCGTGAGGGGCAGCCATTGGGACCCTGAGGGGCAGCTGCTGGAGCTCCACGTGGGGGCTGTTGGGACCTTCAGGGGTGACTGTTGGAGCCCTGAGGGGAGCCCGTTAGGACCACACTGAGGGGATCCCACTGGGACCCTGAGGGGCAGCCATTGGGACCACTGTGAGGGGACTACTGTGAGGGGCAGCCATTGGGACCCCAAGGGGCAGCTGCTGGAGCTCCATATGGGGACTGTTGGGACCTTCCTGGGTGACCGTTGGGACCACCCTGAGGGGCTCCCCCTGGGACGCTCGGGGGCGGCTGCGGGCGCCCTGAGGGGAGCCGCGCGGGGTCTGTCCCCTCAGCGCGGCGCGGGGCGGCGGCCATTGGCTGTCGCTATGCGGGGCCGGCTGCCGGCTCCTCCCGCCGCCCGCCCGCCCCCCGCCGCGCGGTGCGGGAGAGCGGCCGAGCCGGGGCAGGAGGAGGAGGAGGAGGAGGAGGAAGAGGAGAAGGAGGAGGAAAAGGAGGAGGAGGAGGAGGAGGAGGCGGCCGCCCCGAGGCGCCCCCCCGGCTGCGCTGCGCGGTCTCCGCCGCCCCCCCGCCCCGTGCGGCTGCGAGATGGCGGCGGGCGGCGGGCAGGCCATCGTGTGGCGCAACGTGGTGCTGATGGGGCTGCTGCACCTGGGCGCCGTCTACGCGCTCAGCCTGGTGCCGAGGGCGCAGCTCCTCACCCTGCTCTGGGGTGAGTGCGGGGGCCGGGGGCAGCGCGGCGGGGCCCCTTTCGCCGTCCCTCATCCTCCCTCCTTCCCCTCCCGGCCCCTTTTTGTGCCGCCTTTGTCGGCCCAAAGCCGCCGAGGGGGGCGGAGGCGGCGGCGGGGGGCGTGAGGGGCCGGGGGAGCCGAGCCGGGTGGGGGCGGAGAGGGGCTCTGCTGGGGACCGGGGATGCGCTGCCCGCTCGAAGGATTCCCCATTTATTGCATTTATTTATTTATCTATCCATTTATTTATCCGTTTATTTATTTATTTATTTCCCGTGGGTCCGGCTCCGCGCTGGTTTCAACCCCCCCCAGCCCAGCCCCGTGTGTGGCAGGTGGGCTTTTCGCCTATCCCTGTCGCCTTCCTGAGGAGGAGAAAACGCCTCAAAATCTTCTCCGCTTCTGCTCCGTGGAGCTCCTAAAGGCAGGGGCCGAAGGATGGAGCGACCAGCCTCAGCCCTCCATCCATCCGTCAAGGTATTTTTCCTTCTGGTTGACTTTGCAGAGATGCTGAGCAATAAACAGAGCTCGACGACTTTGCGACTTAATCCCTTTCTCTCTCCTCGTCCCCTGACACTGTTACTGGAAAGGCTGGAAAGTTTTCACTGGAGCTGGCTGGGCACTTGCACAGGGGCTCTCCAGCAGGAAGCGAGCAGGCTGGGTCCAGCCACCCGGAGCAGTGGGCGAAGTAAAACACAGCACCTCCTGCAGCATAGCTACGGCTGAAGCGTGTGCCATCGTGCTGGAGGCAGGGGTAGACAACAGCGGTGTTGTTGTTGCTCAGGTTAATGAACTTGGCCTCGGTGGTGCGTGGCAGGATGCGGGCAGCGGTCGGTGGCTCACCAGCACCTGCCTGGCTTCTGATTTATCCTCCCCGGGGACGCCTGTAGCTCAGGAAGCACTCAGCTGGGCTGGGTGGGTGCTGCCTGCACAAGGCAGGGCACGCTTTTCCCTTAGTGAACCCGCCTGGTCGTCCCTGCTGCAGCAGCACCGCTGTGCCACCTCAAAAACAGCTGTCCTCACCGAAGTGCACGCTCAGCAGGACCCATTTCCACTGGTAATTTATTGACACTCGTCCAGCCATACGTAATAGACAACGGAAAAAAGCTGGCAGGAGAAGGCTTGGCTGGGTGTTTGCTCTGGATTATCTGTGCTCCTCTGTTCCCGTTGCTTCCTGCACGAGCACGTGGAGGCAGGCGTTGCAGCTCATCGAACCCCACACACAGCTGGGACTGTGGATGGGACCCCCACCAGCTCTGTGTAATGCTGCCAGGCTGCCTGGAGAGCACTGGGAATCGGGTTCTCTCCAGGGATGCATGCTTACACTGCTTAAAACACCGGCTTTTTGGGTTTCCTGCTGCCTCCCTGGAACTTGAGCTGCATCTTGGATACGGCCCCTGCTCTGCCAGTCCCTTCCTGTCCTTCGCTGCAGTTCCTGGGCCCCCAGGGGTGTGTTCAGCCGTCGGTGAGGTTTCAGCAGCACTTGCTGGGCACTGTTGTGTGTGTTCGTGGACGTGAACTTGTGCAGAGAGGTCCACAGCACGTGTGGCAGGTCGCAGACCTTCCATGAGCCAGATTAAGTGACCAGCCGGTGCTTGGGTTAGTTAAACAACACAAAAATCCCTTTGGCATCCTGCAACGGAGAAAGTTACAGCCTCATGCCCATGTGCGAGGAGAGGTTTGCCACTGCTTTTTGTCTTGTTCAGGACATCCCATCGCTCGGGGGCTGCAAGCCAGTGGGCCCCGGGGGTCAGCGTGGTGCCTGCCGGGCTCTGCCGTCATCACCTCCTCCCCCTCCTCAGCCCTTCTGGCAGGCAGTGGGTGCGAGGAGGCACATGTTGCTGCTGTGCACTGCAGATGCAAGTTTTATTGGGCTTTCAGGATCCAGAAGCTGTGTGTGTTCTTGAATGCCATCTGCTGGCGTGTCGGGTGTGGACCAGCTTTGGTTGGCAGCGCCTCTGTGCGCGGTGTGCTCACCTCGAGAAGCTCCCGCTGTGCTAGAAGCACCACACGGATGGTTGGAAGTAGAAACGCTGGCTCCGGAGGAGTTGCTCTCTGTACTCCTGAGACCTCCCTGGAAGCAGGACGTGGGGATGCTGTCTGTGTTTCAGGCGTGGAGTGGAGGTGCTGGATTTAAACTCCTGCTGTCTCTCCTGCTGCTGGGAGCACCCTGGGGGCTCTGTGCTGGTTATACTCAGGCAACTGCTTGCAGGCAAGATTTTGGGTCAGGAAGCAGGTAGTGACTGCTTTCCTCTTAAAATTCTGCAAGGAGGTATCCAAGGTTGCCTTGGCAGGAGGGATTTACTGAGCAAAATCAATGCTAGTTCTTCGTCAGTGTTTCTAGAGTACTTGCAAGCCAGCGGAGCCCTCCCCAGCCTGCGGATTGAGGACAGCCGTGAGGTCACTGGGGGAGAAGTGAAATCTGCCGACGGTTTTGTGGCGGCGTGGGATCCAGCTGAGCCGAGAGAGGCTGCACAGAAGCATCACAGATTTCAGAGAAATCAGAAATCAAAGCATCTCCCAGCCTTCTCTTTTGATCTAAAAATACACAGGAACCGCTCGGCATCTTGAGGCAATCTTCAGTTGCTGGCGAGCTCAGGGGATGTGTGTGTGCTTCTGAGGGGAATTACAGCGTCCTCTGGAATACTTGCTGCCATCCCGCTGCTCTCCTGGCTTTATTTATGTCGCTTTGGCCGCAGTTGTCAATGCGAGCGTTTCTGCTATTCCAACCGGAATAAAGCCTTTTGTGTGCTCAGCCAAAAGGGCTGGCTCTGGGGAGCCTTCCTGAAAATGTGTAGACAGGCGTGTGCACCCAGATGGAGGCAAGCTGGGTGTCTTGGGCCACAAGGGCGCGACAGACAGCTTCTGGAGCTCCTCCGCCCTGCCACTGCCAAACTCACCTGCTTTGCAGCTCCAAACTGCCTCCCCTCTTCCTTTTGATGCGTTTCGTCTTCTCATTTTCTCTCTCGGTTTGATTTAGAGTGGCTGAGAGAATGTGCACATCTAATTTTAGATGAACCTGCTCCTGGCCTGAGATTTCACACCTTGGCTCTTCACACGAATGCGTGGCTCCCCCGAGAGCTGGCGGGCGCTTCCCAGCAGGCGGCTCAGGGAATCGCTGCCTTTTAATTCTCGGCTGCTGCTGCTGCTTTGAGTCCAGCCCCCGGTGCTTTTGATGCCAGCTTTTGACAGCTGGCAGGGCTCAGCAAACAGCCGACGGCTCCGGGTGAATGCTGAAGTGGACAGCAGCAGGAGCTGGGTGACCCCGGTGTGAGCTAGGAGCGTCCATGTGCTTCCCCTCATTTGGGCAGTACTCGTGCATCGGTCCTAAACCCGCCCGCAAACAACAGCAGAAACCCACAGGGGAGGAGCAGGAGGCGGGTGGGGGATATGCAGATGTGATGTAATTCTTAGAAAGGGAAAAAATCCTAACGGCAAGGTGCGGAACTGTTACATATTTATAGCGATCCACCAGCTTGCAGCGCTCGCCCTGTGCTGGAGCAACTTGCTGTTTGTGTTTCTCACCCAGTTCTCGGAGCCTGATGGAAGACCTTGACTTCTATGCAGCTGATTATTAAAATTCCCTTGCGAGCAATGTTGCTCGGGCTCCGCAAGCTGAGGTAAATGCCAGCGGGTAAATTCACAAGGGCTGTGTGCCCGTCCCTCGTGGTTTTTGGTTTTAACCCTCAGATTGCTGCTGACGCTACCAAGTCAGGCTGTGGGACCCCACGGGAGCTGTCGCCGGGCCACGTCCTGCGTGCTGCAGCCCATTTCTGCAGCACCGCGGTGGGCACGCTATTGATTTTGTCTCCCAGCTACTATTTTTATATCTGCTGCTCTGCCCCTCGGAGATGAGTGCAGTTTGCTCCGTGTAACTGGGTGATGTTGGACATCGGCGGCGTGTGGATGGTTGCTCTCTGGTGCTCTGCCTCCTTGAGAGCTGTGTCTGAGGACGGCCAGCCATTGCCCCTCTTTCAGAGTTCACCCAGTGCCCCTTGCATTCCTTGTTTAGGTTCATTTTATTTATTTATTTATTTGCTTTTTAACCAGGTGAGTGTCCAAAGCCCTCATTAATCCTCTGGATTCGCTACCTGTAGATACATATCCCACCTCCAGTGTGCTTTGGGAAAGAAAACAAGTTCAAGTAGTGATGTTAAACACACAACAGACTTGGAATTCTCAGGGGGAGAGATTTGCTCTGATTTAAGCCACCATGTAGAGAGCAGAGGTGGTTTTCTGATGCCTCCAGGGGGTGCCACAAACCGTTGCGATGTTCCCAGTCCTCCTGGAGGTTGGGCAACATCCCTCTGATGCCTCGCTGCCCTATCTGTGGCAAGCTCAGAATATTTTACATGCTGCTGCTGATCATCCTTGCAGGTGCCTGCTTCCCCAAGCACCTCATCCTTGCTGCAGATCCCTGTCTGTGCTTGTGGCCGCGTTGCTTTTTTCTATCCAGGCAGATTCTCTCTTTCGAGCCTTTTCTGCCTGGATCCTTTTGTGTTTCTTAGCTCTCTCACTGCTGCGCCGAATTTAGCACCCTCTGCAGTTGTAATTAATATGCTGTTTGCCTTTGTTTCAGGTCATTAATAAGCATGTTGAATAAAAATCTGCTGCCTATTGATTCTGGCGCGTTCCCAGAAATAGCATCTGTGCAGAGGCACCGCGTGCGTGGAGCCTAGCAACCTGCCGGCTCCCTGTGCTCGAACCTCTGCTCCCTCTTCATCTCCTGTCCTCTCCTTGCTCTCCGTGCTGGCCACTTCTTGGTGCTGGCACAGCAGGGATTGGTGGCCAAGTGACATTGCCAGGCACCCAAATTCCTGCCAGAACCGTGGCAATCCAGTCTCACTGTTCGGTGCGTTTGTCCAACAGGATTTGCGTCTGCTCCAGTCACTGAGCTCCTGAGGTGGGTTTCTTGTTGTTTTTTCCCTGGGGACGCTTCAGCCCTTGGGATCTATTTTAGGAAAATTCCTGCTGTTGCGATTCCTCCCCTGCAAAGCCAAAGAAGAGGCGTGCTACATGGGTACGAAGCCCCGCCACTCCAGCTCCCCTTTGTGCTGCGGAAGGGCCAGCAAGCTATTCTTTTTGGTGATACCTCTGTCTCTGTCAGAAAATAGGATTCACAAGGAAGATGCTCTTGAAATACCAAATCCCCTGAAAAGAAGAGACGGGTGAAGACAGGGGATTTCAGTCCCTAGGCCTAGCATGAGGTTAACAAGCGAAAAACCCACAGACAATATGTTCTTCTGATGATTCAGGACTCCAGCCTTAATATTTCTGTGTTGCCTGGATAATGTCAGTGCTCGGTGTGTCACAGATCTCTTCCCACCATTGCAGTCATCTGAGCAGTGTGAGAGGCTCTATTTTGTGACATCCCTGCCCCATCGTGGCTTTGCCAGCCCGGCGCAGCTCGGTGTCACGTACAGAAAATGACAGGATGGGTTTCCCTGCGTTGTGCCAGACAAGGCTGTGTCCTCACCCTGACAGGGCACGTGTCAGAGCAGCAAGAGGAAACGGTTGGGCCTTTGGGTCCCTCCCTTCGGGAAGCAGGCACGAGTCTGGATTTGGCAACAGGCTTCAGCACCGCTCTGGCCTGCGCAGCTGAACCTTTTCTGGGGGTAGTGTGAACGGGTCCCAGGATGAGAAATCAGTGCTGCTTTTGGAAGGAGGCAGAAGAGGCTACTGTCCTGGCAGCTGGGCAGCCTAACTGGGAGCAGCTGACGTGCTCCAGACTCCGCCGAGCATCACACCAGAGAAGCAGGAAGGGGTGGGAGGAGAAATGCTGCATCCCAGGGCTGGGCTGAGACCCTCCCCTCCTCTCCTGAGCGTCCCTGCAGGCAGGGCAAGGAGCAGCTTTACAGCCAAGAATGCAATGCTAAGGCCGGCTGGCTCCTGGCTCACCTTTCCTTTTCTTTTTGTCTTTCAGCCTATTTCTGTTTCCTGGTGACAGCCCTGGGTGTGACGGCTGGGGCGCATCGCTTGTGGAGCCACCGTTCCTACAAGGCCAAGCTGCCTCTGCGGATCTTCCTGGCTGCAGCTAACTCCATGGCTTTCCAGGTGGGATCGTGGTTGCCTGTCCCGGTTCTTGGCCTCCTGGCAGCTTTACCTCCCGTGCAGGGATCCCTCCAGCTTAGAGACATCAGAAGCAATGTATGTGTACATATCAGCAAAAAGATGTTTGCCGATGGCGCATGGTGTTGACTTAGGGGATGCACAGCCCCTCGCACTGCCCACACAACACTTAATAGACAGTCCAGGAGCAACAGTTATTGAAGGACCAAGTCGAATGTGCCCAGATCAGGGTCTCAGCAGCTTCTCTTACCCAGGCCAGGCCCCTTGCTTCAGAGGACAGTGTAGAAACTTGCGTAAGGGACGGCCTCATGCAAATACGTCTGCATAATCAGGTCTCTTTGTCCAGCCAGGCAGTTGGAGCTCTCCACATGCCCAGAAAGGAGAGCGGGCATCCTTTCATGCAGTCTGAATTTATCTCCGTTTGATGACGCTTTTTTTTTTGGCAGTAGAATTTAAATGCATTTGTAAAGAAGTGTGTTACTAGCTTTGTACTTCCTGATAGGCAATATCAGACTTCAAAATCTTCTTGTAACGTTCAGCTGGTGGTAGGAGGTAGCCCAGAACCAGGATTTCCGTAGTGTGAACGTAGTTGTTCCTTTGGCTGTTCAAAGCAGATACATGCATCTGTGTTAGCATTACACTGTGGCACTGCACACCACGTTTTTACCTTTTTCTCTCCAATATGTGTGGATGATTTCATTTGCCTCAACAGAGGATGAAGGGAGTCCCTTTATCCGCTTCCATACTGCTCATTTATCATTGATTTATCTTCCTCCTAGGGTCCCATTTGACTCTAACCCCCTGCTTAGAGCTGTGTTCCAGCCACTGAGCCGTATTCCAGCCGCTTCGTGCTGCTCTGTGCCTTGCAAAGCTTTGCAAACCCTTTGCTCAGTGCTGCTTCAGAGGGGGTTTCACTCCTGAGTTTACCTGAAGCCTTACCAAGAGCGACAGCTCCCTGAACAATGGTTGCTATTAATGCGCTCGCAGGGACATGCGTGGCGCTCCCGCTGTCGGTGCATTTATTGCCAACGATTCTGGCCCCTGGCCTTTATTTGCTCTTAGCCCTCGTGGTTTTAATTACACGTGATTCAGTTGTCTCACAGCTTCCTTGCGCTTTCATCTGGGGAATCCTGTTTTTGCCAGCCCTGCAGGTGTTTGCTGTGGTGTGAGAAGCCAAGTTAATTTCCTGCAGTATCAGTGCTTTGACCTGCTTACCTGCTGTGCCACAAGTAATTTTATCAAGTGCCCTTACAACAAGCTGATCGATAGTCTCATTGGAAATACCATTTCTGGTTAAGAAGGAGGACCTTTCCTAGGTGTGTGCTTCTCGCATAAGTCTCATTGGTTTTAAATGCCTTGATCTTAGCATCTCCTAGTCCTCTGGATGCTCCCCCTGAAGTGCACATCTGTCCCTTGAAGCAACGCAGTGCCTTTCATTCCCTTTCATTTCTCTGCAAGGGAAAAAATGAAATGGCAGCAAGGTGAAGATCTGCCCTTGCTCTCATTGAGGAGCTCGGTGGCTTCCTTCGGGTCGCTTTGCTCAGCTCAGTTCGCTTTCTTGGGCAGTGGGTTTTTGTTCCCTGCCTGTCTCTTGCAGACAGCACCTTTGCAATGCTGCCATCAAACTGATGCGTTTGAGCCGGACTATTTGGTTATTTTTGGTTGTTCTGGAGTTGTTCAGCAGCTCGGGTAGCCTTGGTGCTTTCTCTCAATGCTGGCAGCAGAGAGAATGAGCAGTGATTTCCATTATGCTCTCGGCATAGGGCTTGGGTCTCCCAAAACACAGACAGGCAGAGCTTTCATTAGCCTGGGTTTGCCATGTCCTGCAGCATCCCCTGCCTCGATGGCTGCGGCTCTGTGGTTCCTCGCAGACACCACAAAGGGTTTCCTCCGCTCTGGGAGTGAAGCTGCTGTGGTCGGTGGTTGTGGGTGCTGCTGCTGTTCCAACCCCAAGTCTTCTTTCTTTGGGTATCGCTGTGTGGGTCCCTCCCTGCCTGTGCAAAGGTGGAAAAAAAACACAGAAAAGGGCACTCCACCAAGCATTCTGTGGTTGAAGTTCACAGTGCTGTAGATCCAAGTATTAAATAGCTTTTTTTTTTTTTTTTTCTTTGATGCAACTGAATTCACATCTCAGTCTCATGCTCTCGTCCACACCCCGGCAGACAGAGCAGTCATTTAAGTGGAAGTTTTCCTGTGAGAGACTCATCCCTCCAAACTGGGTGCTGTTCCCGTGCATGCGAGGAGCTGGGGCCTCTCTCCCCTCACCCGCTGTGCTCTCTCTGCAGAATGACATCTACGAGTGGAGCCGAGACCACCGCGTGCACCACAAGTACTCGGAGACGGACGCAGACCCGCACAACGCCCGCCGTGGCTTCTTCTTCTCCCACATCGGCTGGCTGTTCGTGCGCAAGCACCGGGACGTCATTGAGAAGGGGAGAAAACTGGATTTCACTGACCTGCTGGATGACCCCGTCGTCAGGTTCCAGAGAAAGTAAGTGGGAGCACACGGCCATCGCGTGGCATGGGGTGGGGGAGTCCTCATCACCTCATTGTGGCTTCTTCCTCGTTGCTGCCTGTCCTCTTTCTCCCCCAGACCGAGTGCTTCCTCTCGCAGGACTGTCATCCTGCACAGCATTAGTTATTTCCCCTGAGAATTAGCGCAGAGCGGGTTCAGCTTGAAAGAAGATGAAAAGCTTCTTTCAAAAGCAAAAAAGCAACAAATTTTGAAGAAAAATTCAGGTTCCTCCTTTTAGGAGGCCAAAGTGTTCTTTTTGACAGCACGTAGCAAACAGCAGGTGGTGTGTTGGCAGCTGCAGGCTCCGAGGTGTGCCTGAGTGCCGGGTTTGCAGCCAGCATTGAACTTCCCCGGGACTTCAGGTGCTGGTCTTGAGGTTTTTGCTCCGGGACTGGGCCTCAGCTGTTGAGCCCCAGCGTTGCCTGCTGCTGCTGCAGGGTTTGTGGCTCTCTTTGCATTCTGAATGGTGAACTGATGTCATGCAACAGCAGGGAGTCGAAAATCTCCCTGCTGCTGTGTGGCTCCTTCCCCTGCAGTACCCAGCTCATCCTCTGGCACCCAGGCAAGAGCTGGCAGTGTTCATGCTGGCAGAGCTGGGGCACGCTCTGTGGCATGCACAACAGGGACCACTAGCAATTTTTTTCCCGAACTCTGCTCCTGACACATTAACGTAGTTTCTCTCATAAACAAATAAACACCTCAAGCTCCAAAGATTTGGATACAGCTACAATCTGCTGAGACATCGTTTCAGTTAGACATGCAAAAATGTCCTTGTGGGTTGAGCTTTTTCCTTCATTTTGGAGTGGGTCTTGAATTAGCAGCAATTTTTCTCCCATCTTTCCATAGCATCCTAATAGCCATAGCTGTTCCCTACCTGGCACTTTTCCCTTTCACATCTCCTGGTGCTTTTTGGTGCGGGTGGGTACTCGTGTCACTGCTTTAGAGAGGACAAGAGTGGCAGCAGTGTGGTGGTTCCGCTCAAGTGGGCAGCTGAGCTCCACCACAGCCGCTCTCTCACTCCCCCTCCTCAAAGAGGAACGGGGAGAAAATACGATGAAAAGGGCTCAAAGGTTGAGATAAGGACGAGGAGATCACACAGTAATTATTGTAACGGGCAAAACAGACTCGGCATAGGGAGACAGTAAGATGTATTGCTCATTACTAACAAGCTAGAGAAGTGAGAAACAAAGGAAAGAAACCAAAAGCACCTCCCCCCCCATCCACCCTCTTCCACCTCCTCCCCCTGAGCGGCGCAGGGGAACGGGGGAATGGGGGTTATGGTCAGTCTACAGCACTTCTTCTCTGCCGCTCCTTCTCGGTCACTCTCGTCCCCTGTGCTGTGGGGTCCCACCCACGGGATGCAGTCCTTGACGAACTGATCCGGCGTGGGCTTCCCACAGGCAGCAGCTCTTCCAGAACTGCTCCAGATATGGGTCCGTACCACGGGGTCCATCCCTCAGGAGAAAACTGCTCCAACCTGGCTCCCCTACGGGCAGCAGCTCCTGCCAGATCACCTGCTCCTGCGTGGTCTTCTCTCCACGGGCTACAGGTCCGGCCCGGAATCTGCTCCGGCAGGGGTCTTCCACAGGCGGCAGCCTCCGTCGGTGCAGGGCCACCTGCTCCACCGTGGTCTCCTCCACGGGCTGCAGCGTGGAACCCTGCTCCACCGTGGTACTCCATGGGCTGCAGGGGGACATCCTGCTTCACCATGGTCCTCACCACAGGCCGCAGGGGACTTCTGCTCCAGCGCCTGGAGCACCTCTCCCCCTCCTTCTGCACTGACCTTGGCACCTGCAAGGCTGTTCCTCACTCCTCTCACTCTCCCAGCTGCTGTGTGTCGCAGCATTTTTTTCCCTGTCTTAAATCTGCTCTCACAGAGGCACAAACAACATCTCTTATTGGCTCAGCTCTGGTCAGCAGTGGGGCCCTTACCTAACATGGGGCAGCTTCTAGATCCTTCTCACAGAAACCACCCCTATGGCCCCCTGCTACCAAAACCTTGCCACGTAAACGCACTGCAAGCAGCTGTCCCTCCCAGCTCTTGGTAGCTGCCTGTGGTGCTGAGCACTAGCAAGTCTTGGCACGAGAAGGATGCCTGCGATAAGGACATACCACTCCGTAGACGTAGATGTCTTGGGTTCAGACTCTTCCAGGGCTCCTTGGCTCTGTTCAAGTTCTTCTGCAAGTTCTCCTCGCTCCCCTGCCATCGTCCCCACCACGGTAACGGTGTCCTTTGGTTTCCCCGCAGGTATTACAAGAGCTCGGTCGTGCTGATGTGCTTTGTGATCCCCACCTTTGTGCCGTGGTACCTCTGGGGCGAGAGCCTGTGGAATGCCTACTTCCTTGCCTCCATCCTCCGGTACACCATCTCCCTCAACGTCACCTGGCTGGTCAACAGCGCCGCGCACATGTACGGCAACCGTCCCTACGACAAGTACATCAACCCCAGGCAGAACACCTTTGTCACTCTGGGAGCCATTGGTAGGTGCTGTAGCCCTCCCCCAAAGAGATCTGCAAACTCTGAGCTCTAAAGTGGAGGCAGTCAGGGGTCAGGGCTTTGAAAACAGGGTTGGGATGCCCCACCCCAGCACAGTCCTGAATTCATTCTTGTAACTCCCTCTCTGTTTCCCAGGTGAGGGTTTCCACAACTACCACCACACCTTCCCCTTCGACTACTCCGCCAGCGAGCTGGGCCTGAAGTTCAACCCCACCACCTGGTTCATTGACTTCATGTTCTGGTTGGGGTTGGTCACCGACCGAAAGCAGGCTCCGAAGGAGATGATCCAGGCGCGCAAGGAAAGGACTGGAGATGGCAGCGCTTGACGAGTGGCGCTTCTCCCTGCAGCAGTGCTGGAGTGCGCGTGTGGGCACCCCCTGCTTGCTGGAGGTTCTTCTCTGGTTAAATATTAGTTCCTTCAGTTGAGCCGAATTTGTTCCACGGGTTCGGCTGCAGCTTTTTTGTCTTTATTAGTTGTTTTATGTCCAAACTTCAGACTATTAAGTGTAAAAATGTTCTATATTATTTAATATTAGAGTTAAAACAGGAGAGAGATTTGATTTTAGTCACTGTAGTTCATGTCTGAAATACATTGTAATTTGCTCGTTCATGGTAAATGTGGCAGGTTGGAGGGACTAACTATCCTTTTAAAGTGCAGTGAGGGGAGAATTTGTTTCTACTCTTAATCAAATATTCTTTTGAGACACGATGCTTGGAGAGGCTGGGGCAGGGCCCAGTGTGCTGTGTCAGCTACAAACTGACGGCACCATGGAAAACAGGATGTCCGAGGCGAGCAATCGGCCGAAGATCAGTTTGATGTTAGTTTGAAAATCTGCTTTCTTCTTTTTGTTAGCCCTGTTAGCCAGACCAACACGCTGCTGTCTTTGCTAAGTACGAAAACCATTTATTGCTGAGCAGGCTTTTGTGTTGAAGATTAGTCTCTATACAGGCCAAAATACAACCTGATGCTATGTTGAGATGATTCCTTTGTTGTTGCATATACATTGTAATTTGTAACGGTACAGAGCTCAACAATGTCTTAAGCCAAATAAAGCTTTGGTTTCGATGTTCGGAGACCTGAGTTATATTCTAATCAGTCATGGCCATTGATGCATGCATATTTTAGCTCCTTTTGCACAAGAGGCCTCTTAATTTCTTTTGCTGCCTTTGACTAGCAGGTCTTTGAAAACCGACCTTGATAGAAGTCAGTTTCTACTCATGTTTCAGCTGCATGCAACATCCATTGGTTTCTGAGCAAAATATAAAGACAGTTATGTAGCTTCTGAATTTAACATTTAACAGTTGCCTTGATTAAAAAGGAAAAAAAATAAAAAAGGAAAAAAAAAAAAGCATGTGGAATGGGACATAGAGCCCTTTGTGTTAGATGTTAGCCAGTGCAGGAGAGAGGCTTTGTACTGTCAGCACTGGAGCACTTTTGAAGATAGAGGGCATGATTTTCATTTATAAAGCAGGTCACCGCCTTGTCCCTCGCAGAGGGGCGCTCACTTCTGGGCCACTCGGCCCCACGCCCCGGGCAAGGCAGTGATCTCGAGCTAAGTGAGACTCGGGCCCAGATATTTTCAGGAAAGATGTAGAATTAAAAAACAAAGCCACGCAATTTGAAATCAATTCTTTTTTTCTCGTTTCTTGTTTTCCAGATGATGCCATATAATATTAAAGAGTTGTCTTTATTCTGTATTTCATCCAGCAGGTGTTTTAACAGTGTTACTTTGCCATTAATGTTGTGTAAACTCTTGAGTGATTTACAATAAACAGTTATGATTAGACGGGCTGCTGTGCTTTGTTCGGAAATGTCTCCAGAAGCGAAGGGCTTTGTGCAGCATACGTCAGAAGCACAGCAGTGTTTTTCACTTGGCATTTCCAGGTATTCTCTCGGTGCAGTGTTTCCAGAGTACCTGCCCCCTCCATGTTTGTGCATTCCTTCGCAGGGCTGTTAGCACACAGAAGGGCCCCACGAGACTGGATTGCTTCTGGCTTCGTTGCCAAGCTGATAAGGAGGGGAACAGAAATTTTAAGCTGATTAAGCTTGGAAGGAGACCACGGCAAGTTCTCACACGTGAAAATCCCAGTGCAGTTGGGCCGTTTGGTGGAATTATACAGCGTGGTGGGAGGCTTCTCCCCACCACCCATTACAGTGCCTACTTATGGATCTGCTGGAGAGCAGCATAAAGCCTTCAGACCGATGCCAGAGATGGGCTTGGACATGATGTGTGAGTGTAGGAGCAAAGTGGGGAAGAGGCAAATGCCTCACCTTAATGGTTCTTCCATCATGTGGTTTGTGCAGCTTCCTGGCTGGAGAACCGCAGTGAATGCTCTTCGTGGCAGCTTACATACACATCTTCCTGTTGATCCTTATCATGTTTTAGATGTTTTTTTAATTTTGTGCTGCTATTGCTTGGACTTCCCTAAGCTGATTGATTCTTGTCAAGTACGTGCTGTAAGAAGAGTAACTGGCCCTGCAAAGAAACACAGGCTGTTTTCAGTCTGACTGCCTGAAATTATACCAAGGTAATACACGTTTTTCTTGGAAGTGTAAGAGTGCAGTGGCAACACCAGTTCCAGGGGGACTCAGGGATCTGAGACTTTGAAACCATTTGCAAGTTAACCATGATTTTGAAACAAAACAAAAACTGGAAGTATGCAAAGAAACATCTTTCAGAAACTGCAAGGGTCCTCTATCAAATGCCTGAGGGCTGGGATCTGGGGATATTTCACATGTGAGAGGGGGCGTTTTGCAAGCAACAGCCCCTCTGGCAAATCTCAGGCACGCCTGTTGCCACCGTGCAGAGGGGACACATGCCCAGACGGTGTATGTTTAGCGGCGGGGCATTTGGAGAAATGAAGTCTATCAAAATATTTTAAAAGCTGGATGAAGGAACAGATGGCTGTGATGAGAGATGATCTGGCTAATGAAACGCGGGTTATCACTGAAACTGAGGAACAGTTGCTCGGGCGCTGTATTTAGCCCGTGTCGCAGCTCTGCGCGCTCCCCGGCCCCTGCCTGCCGCCCCCAGTGCCGAGTGGGCGACGTTTCTCGCCAGGCCCGGTGCCAGCTTCGGCACGGAGCAGAGCAGGACAGGACAACCAGTTGGTACATCTATTTTCAGAGCACACGCGTTTCCCAGGAAGGAAAACAAACGCCGAGCAATTCCTGTTTCTTCCTTCCCTCTGCCTACCCTGCAGAAACAGCCCACCAAAACCATGGTGAATTCGCCAGGGCTGAATCGCCCCTGAGAGGACTGCGGCGAGAGAGGTTCCCTTGGCTTCTTGCTGAGCTGCCAGGACGCATTCCCCCTGTGTAAATCCTCTGTTTCACACGGAAAGCATCTCCCCTCTGCCGTGGGAAGGAGGTGGACGTGCGGTTTGGTCCCCAGTGGGAGCACTGATGTGGCTGAGCGTGGACAGGGAACGCCCATGCACCGCAAGGCACCGGGAGGAGGAAATAGTAATTAATGACAAAGCACAGCTGTAATTTTCAACATTTGTGTGCGTTGGAGCTGGTTCTGGGCTCGCTGCTGGTGCCTTCAGCCCCGCTCCCCACCAGGGTGCTGGGGCTGCCGCCTGAGGGCTGCGGGGCTGCGGCCGCGCCTCATGGCGGGGCCCCGCCTGCCCGGGGCGGGGACGGCACCAGCCCGGCCCCCTCCTTCCCTCCCTGCCTCCCTCCCTGCCTCCTTCCCTGCCTCTTTCCCTGCCTCCCTCCCAGCCTGGGCCGGGGACGGAGCCGCCGCCGCCCTCTCCCCAGGTAGGAGCCTGAGGGGACAGCGCTGAGGGGTCGGGGGGTGCCGGGTGTCCGCCCCTCTGCCCGCCGCGGGCACCCGCTGGATGGGGTCGGCAGCTCGTGAAATGGGCGAGAAAGTGGCAGGGCTGCTTCCCATCGCGACAGTGTCGCGACAGAGAGCCGCCGCTCTGCCTGGCTGGGGTGCGGGGTGCAGGCGGCCGCCGCCTTCATCCCCCCTGCTTTTGGCTGCGCCGCCGCTCTCCGAAATGCGCCGTGGCCTGGTGCCGGGGCATGCAGGCATCTGCTGCGGCTTGTCATCATCACCATCATCACCATCATCATCACCACCACCATCATCATCATCATCACCATCATCACCATCATCATCATCATATCACCATGCCGCTTGTGGACGGGCCCTCGAAACGCACCGGCTCCACAGAGCCAAACCGCGCCGCTGCCGAGGTGGCCACGTCTGCCTCGTCCTCCATCCACGGCCGTGGGCACAAGCAGCCTGAGGACGGGCGAGGTGTGTGTCAGGGGATGCCCTGAGCACGGCTCTGGTGCCGGCACGAGGCTGTGGCAGCCCTGGGAGGGAGTCCGTGGCACCACGGGGTCTGCTGGTTGCCAGAGGCTTTCCTTCTCTGCAGGCTTCAAAAAGCAGAAGAGCAGCGGGTGTGTGCGATTCGCAGACACCTCCCAGATGTGTTTATTTGGGAAAATACAGGCCTGTGGAGATGGCTGGAGTGGTGCTTGGGTTTGGGGTGCTCGGATTTGGCATCCCTAGGCGGGGTTGGTGTGGGCCAGCCTCGGGAAGGAGGTGAGGTGGTGTGTAGGGTGTGTAGGCATTTCTGCACCCCGATAACGCAGCGGGCAGCCAAGGAGCCGTGTCCAGGTGCAGAGTGCTGGGTTTAAACCATCCTCCGTGCATGCGGGAATGGCTGAACTTCTCCGGGCACGTGTGGGACATGAGGATGGAGGGCATCAGAAGGTGTCTGCTCCACCCACTGCCTGCGAGCCTGCCCTGGGTGGGTGCAGCAGAGGGTATGCATGCCCCTGCCTCCACACGGAGCCTGTCTGGAGGGTTTGGGTGGCAGCGACATCCTCCCCCGCTTGTGGAGCGCAGTCTCCCTGCCACCCAGCCTCCCAGCCCCATGCCACCTCCCTCTCCCCGCGGCAGACGATGCTGGAGTAGCTCAGGAAGGCTGTGATGCCGTGGCAGGGAGGCATGCTGGCCCGTGAGGAGCTGTGGTAACCCGTTAATGAAGACAAGTGCTCTTTCTGGTGTTTGCTTTTATTGCGAACACGAATCCTTTGTACCTTCCTGAGGGGGAAGAGTAACAAGACCTGCTGTCTCTGAGCTGAAAGACCTGTGTTACCTCGCTGTAGTCCAACCACCGCAGTAGAAAACGGGAGAGCTGTGTTAGCAGCAATTACCTCAGAATAAATGAGGGCTGTGATGGGAGCTAACATCTGCCTGCCTGCTCCCCTGCGGCCAGGACAGGATCGAGGAGCTCAGCTGCACCTACAGGGCACCAGCATTTCGGAACCGTGCTGCCAGGCTGTGGCAGGGACACTGCCACCTGCCTCAGGATGCCGCTGCGGATTTATGGGCTGCAGGAGAACAAGGCAAGGGCACCGCTCGCAGAGCAGCCGCGGCTGCTGCAGCAGGGGCCGGGGGGAAGCCGCCCTGCCCAGAGCTTTGTGCGTCCTTCAGGGAGGGCGAGGAGCAGAGCTGGGGTGGGTGGGAGAACCCAGCCCACCCGCACAGCCGATTCCTTCTGGGCTGCTGCACCGTGACCGGGATCTGTGTGTGCGCCGGGGCTGCCTGCCTTTTATACTGACGTACGTAGTGCTTGCGTGGCTTTGTGCTCTCTGTGTGCAGTTCTTCCTGCTCCCGGGCCGGGGGGGAACTCGTCGGATAGCTTTCCTGCCATCTACGTGGTGTGTGGTTTATCCATGCTTGAGGCTCGGGGTGCAGCGAGCCCCCTGGTGCAGCTCTGTGCCCACAGCAGGCGATGCGCAGGGTGCAGGGAAGGTGGCACTGCTGGTGTGCTGCTGCTGCTGCTGCTCTAGGGGAGGGAAAGCAGGCGCTGGAGCAGGGAGCCTCGTGTCCTTCACTTTCGGTTTGCATTCCTTGGCGGCGCCGGTGCCTGGAGGAGCACTGGCAGAGGACGGCGGAGCACGAGGAGGTATCGGGCTGGGTGTCGGAGAGCACCACGGCGTTCCTGGATCGCGTGTGCTGCAGGGACAGCCCCGTGGTCTCAGATCCTCATCCAGCGGGACCTTGCCTGCGGGACGAGTGCTTCCTCCCAGGCAGTGTGCGCGGCATCTGCCCCACACAGCACCGACACACCAGGACCTGGTCCTGTTTCTTGTGCCTCCTCCTGGCAGCGCTCTGGTGCCGGTGCTCGGGCTTGGCTGCCAGAGTGACCTTGTGCGAGCTGCCGAAGGAAAACACCTGGAAAACCACCCCGGCTTCATAGGCACGTCCAAAAGTCTCCCCGCCACGCTCCAGTCTCAACCTAAGGAGGTTGATCTCGGGGTGCTTTGGCACCTGTGGTGCCTTCAGCTGGGTGCTCTTGCTGCTTTCAACACAGGGGGGGTGAAGGAGCAGGGTGCCTCTGCCCTCTTCCCTTTGTTTTTACTTTGTGCTTTGTTTCCAGCAGGTATGGACGGGAAGAAATGCAGTGTGTGGATGTTTTTGCCTCTTGTGTTCACCCTGTTTACATCGGCTGGATTATGGATAGTGTAAGTTACCTCCCTGGTTATTCGAGATAGCGAGTTAGCCCAGGGCAGCCTGAAGTGCTGCTGCGGTGTGGGCTGTGTCCCAGTAGGAAGTCTTTTGGGGTTTCTTTGTCCTCGAGTTGCTGGGGGGCAGGAAAGACGCACAGCAGGGGCAGGGGCCAGTCTGTGGAGGAGCACATGTGTTTCTTTGAGGTTTTGTGCTCCCTGAGCCAAGCTCCTGACCTTGCCTTCCTCTTGGCATGTGCTGCTAGGAGCCGCCTGAAAACCAAGAGGCACAAACAGAGCTGTTCCCCTTCCCTTTCCAGTAAATGACTCAGAAGAGCTCTGGAAGGAGTACTCGGGCCCCACTTTGGGGTGCAGAGTCCAAATGTTGCCCCATACGGATGGCCCATCAGCAGCTTCGTGCTGACACCTTGCTTTCTTGCCAGCCCTTAACAAAAGGCACGAGGCGTGCGTCCCCCTGAGCTGGGCACTCCCTGGGCACGCAGGCAGACAAGTGCAGCCTCAGTCCGAGCGCAGTGTGGGATCAGCAGTGGTGCTCAGCCCGAGGGGGGGCTGTATCGTAGGTGATGGCTTTGGCCACACGTTGGTGGACGTTGTTTTTCAGCAGCCCGGGCAGCTTAAGCTGCTCGTCTGAGCCCTACTGCTGGTAAAACAGCTTTTGTGTGGGAGCAGAGCGAACGTGATGAATCCAAGGCTTCAGATTAAAAATGAAAACGTTTCCCTGGGTGGTTATCTTTAATCCAGCTCAGTTCAGTGACCCCGATTCTCCACCCGGCCATGCAAAACAGGTGTAGCACAAAGACAGGCACACAGCAGGGCTGGGAAAAGAGAGAGCAAAACTGCCTGCTTAGGCAGAGAGAAGGGTTTGCCTCTGGCAGCTCCTGATTTTGCCTGACCTGGTGCCAGTGTGCTTTGAGGCACTCGCTGGGTAGTTGGGGTGGTATTGGGAATAGAAGCCAGAATGAGGTTTTCATCTTCTTTGTTTTTGACAGGTACTTTATAGCAGTGGAAGATAACAAAATTATTGCACTAAATGTACCGGAGAGGTAAGAGCTGGCTGTGGGTTTTACTCTCAATTAGTTGTTTCTACATGATAATTAAACGATAAAAGCTAAATGGGAAAGAAAATCTTGAATCTTGGTTCCTGTGCACTTCTGTCTCGTAGGCAGCCTGGTTCCAAAAGACCACCTTACATAAGGTGAGTGTGTGATTTCCTCCCAATTCCTGCTCTGATTAGCAGTTGTTATTTGTGCGTCTCTGCCACCCTGGAGTTACAACAACGTGCTTTGTGTTTTCAAAGTATTGCAGGTGACGCTCCTCCTGCGAGCTGCGTGTTTAGCCAAGTCATGAACATGGCAGCATTTCTAGGTAGGAACCACAAGGAGAATGCTTCTTTCTCTCTCAGAATGGGTTGTGAGAAGTCACTGGGACATAAGTGGTATCCAAGATGTATTGTTCTTGGGTAGGCTGATGTGAAATCTTTTAAGCTGTGATTGCTACTGATTAAGCCAGCATTGTTTTGTCTTCTGCTGTAGAAAGACAGCACGAGGCTGGATGCATTTGAGATGTATTGGTTTCTGATTTATCCTCACATTTTTAATTATCTCAGCCTTGAATCAATTGTGACTCTTTTTCACTGTGTTGGATTTCTGGTATTTGCTGCACATGTGAGATAATGGCATGGGGATGCTGGGAAGTGCAGAAACTGACTGTGCAAAATATTGCCTGTGCCAGACTCTCCCCACCCCACCTCTTCCCAAAATCCAGCACTGAAACAGTCCAAGCTGACTGGCTTTTTCCAGCAGCAGATGTAAAAGTGAAGCATCATGAACAGGAGGAGTACCTGAAATGTACAAACGCTGGCAAAAAATACCTGCATTAGGCCCTTAAAACTGTTTATTACCTACACTTTGACTTATTTTGAAGAAATGATCCCAAACTTAAACAGGCCAATAAGGTCAGTATTTTAACTTGGAATTGCTGTTCTTTAGTAGCGCTTGCATTTATCTTTTCCCTATATGGGACACTTTTTTGGTTTTCCCTATATGGGACAGATGTTGGTGGCACCTCCTGCTCAGTGCAGGGAGGTCACACTGAGCGAGCCACCTCGCCTCCTCTCTTCCTTCCTCAGCGCTTGTCGTCGCTGTCCTGCGCTTCATCCAGCTGAAGCCGAAGGTGCTGAACCCGTGGCTGAACGTCAGCGGCCTGGTGGCACTGTGCCTGGCCTCATTTGGGATGACCTTACTGGGCAACTTTCAGGTATGGGTCTGCGTCGTGAGCTCCTGCGGGCTGAGAGGATTTGCCTGGCTCCTTAAATTACGCATGCCTGGCTGCACCCCAGCCCTCCTGGTACCCACTCTGCCCCCTCTGCCTGCCCCTAAAGGGGCTCCGGCGATGTGTGGAGATGAAGGGACACGATTTTTCATGTATTTCACACATGCTTGGCCTGCTGAGAGCCAGCGCAGGGAGCCTCCTGAACCTCCTGAGCCCTGGGGTTTGGTGCAGATGGCCGTGGGTGATCAGACTGAGCTGGAAGTTTGCAGCTGCATCTGTGCTAGCAGATGCACAGCTGCCCGTGCAGAGCTGGCAGGCTCTTAATGTCCTTCACCCCAAGCTATGTTGGTGAAATCCATCTCCTGCTTCTCCTCAGACTGGCCACGAGAGGGATGCGGCAGAGAAATGCTGCCTGTCCCCCTGGTGTGATGGGGGCCTGGCTGAGGTCCCTGTAATTCTCCACCTGTTCCTCAACACAATTGTTACAAACAATCGAGCTGTCAGCTCCACAGCCTGCTCGGTGGGGCATCCACCGGCATCACCAGGCTGTGTCTGTCAGGGCTGCAGTGAAAATCAAGGCGGTACAGCCAGTGGGATGTGTGGGTGTCCCTCTCCTGCCGCTGTCCTGATGCCCTGCCTCTTCCCGGGAGGCAGGTACAGGGCCCCAGCTGCCGGGAACTGGGAATGGTCAGGGCTGCAGAGTCTCAACTGCCTCTGTAGGAAGGGAGCTGGCTTTCCTGCTGATACAGGGGAAAATGCCTATTCTGTGAGGGGTGAGCAGCAGTTTGGGTTGCAGAGCAATTGCTGGAATGTTGTGTCATCCACGCAGTTTTCTCTTTTTTGTCTTTGTTTGTTTTTGAATGAGGTGTGAGCCCACTTGGTCATTCTGGACCTCTTTCTAACTCCACATCCCAAGCCAAAAACTTGTAGGTTTGCTTTTTTTGTGAGAGATCCCCAGGCAGGAGCTGCGAGGCCTTCGTAAGAACCACATCTAGGTGTGAGAAGGACATCTTTATTATGGGGACTAGGCACAAGGAAGCAGTTCCAACATCTTGTTCCTTTTTTCTCCCCCTCAGAGCAAATGCTCGTTCTTGAAGAGTGGATATTTTGAGTCAGTCATGATTATAAATTTTTGGACTAATAATCCATTCCTTGTTAGCTGTGTTCTTTCTTAGATCTTGTGCCAACCCATGAAAGCATATGGTAATGAGATTTTAGTCTGTGTTTTTCCCTGCCTGACTGCAGAGCTGAATGTGGCGTTAAGTCACATTGCTAGAAAATTACAGATGGGATGTTTTGGAGGGAGGTGAAGGCTACAAGTCCCATGCAGCGCAGGCTGCCTTGGGACAAACAATCTGTCCTATTTTTGTATCTACCATCATTTGAATCTGCCCTTTCTGGAGGGAAAAAAAAAAACACAAACAGGGTAGGGAGGAGAGGTTGGTTCAATCTCCTCTGTCCCACCCCGGCAGCAACCCAGGGTAGCTAGCAGATGGCTCCTGTTTGGTCCAGGCAGTCACTGTTCTGTTTCCTCCCAGCTTTCCAACGATGAGGAGATCCACAACGTGGGTACATCGCTGACCTTTGGCTTCGGGACTCTGGCGTGCTGGATCCAGTCTGCCCTCACCCTCAAGATCAACCTGAAGAACGAGGGGCGGAAAGTGGGGATCCCGCGCGTCGCCCTGTCGGCCAGCATCACCCTCTGCGTGGTGCTCTGTATCCTTTGGGCCTGCTCTGTGGCAGGCTGGGTACGGTGGTGTCCGACTCTCCTTGTTCATTTTGCCACCTCTGTTTTACAGGGATGCACTGCTTCTCTGATGGGCTGGGTCAGCTGTCAGCCTGGTGGCTCTGATGGTCTCATTTTATTATCTTCCTGTTGGCTTTCTCCCACCCTGGCTGGTATCTCTGCTCCCACAGGCTTTCCCAGGATGTTTTCCTTGACTTACCTCTTCCAGATTTCATCCTGATGGCTCAGGGCATCCACATGCACGCTGCCAGGATCCAGTGGGGCCTGGTGATGTGCTTCCTGTGCTACTTTGGCACGTTTGCGGTGGAGTTCAGGCACTACAGATTCGAGATCGTTTGCTCCGAGTACCAGGAAAACTTTCTGAGCTTTTCTGAGAGCTTGTCGGAAGCCTCCGAGTACCAGACAGATCAGGTGTAGCCCGTCCTCTGGCAGGGGGGAGGGAGGCAGGCGCGGTCCCATGGTTCGACATGACCTCATTTACACTTGTTTTGATGAGTTTGTTTTCCACGTGCAATCATGATCGTATTGCCAAAGGGCTCGGAGAGTGGCTGCCTCATGAAGAGCCACACAAAAGCAGCTGCCTGCTGGAAAGAGGGTTCTCTCTGAGCCGCGGTGCCAGAGAGCACGAGGTGTTTGATCCGTGCTGCCAGGGACTTTGCCAGCAGCTCTGTCGCGCTCTTGATGCTGAAGATGTTCAAGGCCAGTCCTCGCAATGCCCTTCCGAGGTGGGCACGGCTCCTGCAAAGGAGATGAAGGAAACAAACCTCTCTGGGCACAGGGTCTTCAGATGTGGCTGCACTTTTCATGTCTTATTGCGTTGTTTTCTCGGCTGCTGAGCTGACAGGCGCGACCTGGGAGCGTAAGAACGGTGGCTGTTTCTTCTGGACTGGAAATCCAACCCGAAGGGACTGGCACTGCTGGTGAGCACGTGGGGCCTTTCCTCCGTCCTGGGAAGAAGCTGAGGGCACAGCGGGGCTGGGGGACACCACGCTGCCACCAGGTGTCCTGGCAGCAGGGAGGACTGCGGTGCCCAGGCCCGAGGGCACTGTGCAAGGTGCGGTGTGCGGACACCACGGTGGGGACCGGTGGAAGCAAGGTGCTGAAGTATGACGGGAATGGCTGTATGCGCTGAAAATGACCCAGAAGAGGCTGCTCTTTTAAGTGTTTAGTGTATCCACTACATATCGTGTCATGTTTTAAAAGCTTTTTTTTTTTTTGGGTTGTTTGCAGAGGGGGAAAAACCTTGTGTTCAAGACTGAGCTTGCCTGCAGTGCAAAGGGAATCACTGCAGGTGGATTTTATGGGGCAGAGGGTGGCTGGTTGTTTTTTTTTCGGTCCTTATGCACTTAGAAGTCAAACTTCAGACACACTTCAGCCCTGCGTGGGATCCAAACCTCTCCACGTGGCCAGTTTTCCTGAGAGGACTTGCAAGGTGCTTGGAGGCAGTGCTGCCCTGGAGGCCTGAGGATGGCAGGTGCTGGATGGAACCCGCACAACTACGTGAGCCTCTCCCTCCCTGGGGACATGGAGCTAACTGGACCTTTTCTCAGAGCTGAGTCACCGAAAGCAAGAGCAGTTTTGCTGTGCCCTCCAGGTGGAGCTTGAATTCAAAGGCTGAGGGAAATATAACAACAGGAAACTTCCAAGATGGTCTGTGGGCAGAGAAAGCAGGAGCCCAAAGCCTGTATCTGAAAACCCCTGAGCCTGGGAAGGCTGCTGGGTTGGCCAAGCAGGGGATGGATGGGAGACGTTTTCCATTTCCCTCAGCCTCTCCTGAACTGACATGAGGCATCTCATCGCCCATGTGGGAAGAGAAGCAGGAATACAGATGGTGGAAAGGCGTCTGAAGGTGAGCTCTGACCACCCCATGGCGTTTCGGGCAGAAACAGGAAGGGCACAGGGCCGTACAGTGCTCTGCAGAGGTCAGGGCCCAATCCGGCACAGAGAAATGGCCAAAAAAACCTTGTGTCTAAACCAGCATAAAGGGAAGAGTTCAGCCAGCCCCCTCCTTGATCTTCCTTGGGCCAAAAGCCACGCTCAGGGAGGGAGGCGCTGAGGCTGCGTGTCGTCCCCCGACACACGGGATGCAGAGGGAGCACAGAGCAGTGCTTTAAGTGTGTTTTACTGTAAATAGTCCACTGTAGGGGGTTTTTCCTAAACCAATTACTACTTTCAGTTTATCATTTTATATTTTGTAATAATTTTAACAAGGAAAACATGAGATGATGTTTGTGATTCGTTTTTCCTTTTCCTATATGCAATCCAAACTGAACTTCAGGTTTTTGGTGATAACTCTGTACATTTCTTACCGTATTTCTAAAAGCACATTTCAGTACGACTCGATGACAAGCGATATACACCGAAACACGACCACTAAATAAAGTGCTTTTATGGAGAAAGTGAGTTTTATTTCTGTCCCCTATCCCATGCATAGCTTTATGAGGGCGAAGGCAAAACAGAACGTGTTCACACCATCACGATGCAGATTAACACTCCACAAAGCCAGGGACTATTCAGCCATGCAGGCACGCTGATTGTAAGGCTGCTAATTAGCAGGCTCTTTCTACGAGGAAGATCCCGCAGCCCAGAGAGGCAGTCGGACTCAGAGCTGCCACCACGAGCGTCTGAAGGGCAGTGCTGGGATGAGGTGGTTTCCTCCCCCAAAGCTTTTCTTGCTCGTTCTCCACGCCGCAGCCTCAGCAGGGACAGCTGTGGATGTGCAGCAGGGCTCGGGGAGGCGGCACGCACATATTTGCTAGTCTGCCCTGGCCATTTTGTTGCCAAAGCCACGAGGGCAACCTCTGGCGCAGCCGCAGAGTAAGCAGCAAGTGCCTCTGCCACTGCATGGCTTAACCTTGCCGCAGCTCTCGCCAAGTCCCTGCTGAAATCAACAGACCAGGGGTGGCGAAAGCAGAAGAAAAAAAACAAAGTATTTAAAAAAATAAAGCACTAAAACAATTGCCTGTAGGTGCTGGGCTCACTGATGACAGATAGCAAGGCTAAACACTGGAACAGTAAACACAGTGAAAGCAAAGATGTGTTTTTATTGGCTACGTGAGGAAAAGCTCCATGACCACTGCTATAAATTGGCACGATTTAGGTAGGGTGGGTGAAAAGATCTGGGGGTTGATTCTCCTTAAATACAGCAGGATATGGCCCTCGACAGCAGCTGTTTGCCAAGGGCTGCTCACAGCTGAGCCATGCTATGCTGCGTGGTGCCACCTCTGAGGAGGAGCCCACCACTTAGCACCAAGGGAGAGGCTTCAGAACCACAGCCAAGCGGGTGTCTGGGCTCAGCTGGTGGGATCCTGCAGCCCAGCACCGCCCAGCAGCAGCGTGGGGTGGCTCCAGGATTTAGTTTTTAAGGAATGTAATTTTTACTGTTTGCTCTGCTTTGGTCCCCGGGCTGGCTGTTTGAGCAGCACCCCGACGCAAGGCATGCTGTTCTGTACCTAGGACCTGCTGTGGGTGGCTGCAGCCAAGATTTAAGTCACTCCTGGTCTAAAGAGCTTGCCTGCGCCAAGGGCTGGCTTCCTCCGTGGCAGCCAAAACGTCCTGCACAAGGAACCCCACACCGTACTTCCCATCCATACCTGCACTAGCCGTGGGTCCGATACATGACGTGGGTTTGATAGTAAATTCTGATTAAGGACAGTTATCACCTAAAGTTACACGAGGACAATTCAGCTGGAGCACAGCCTTTTCTTTTCTGCGCGCGCTGCTCTCCCTAAGTGGAGGAAGGCAGGAAAAGTTCAGTGAAGGACGAGATGAGGCTGTAATAGGATTTCTCATCGTCCGTCAGTCCTGCGTTGCCAGGCCTGATCACCACAGCCACGTGCGTGTCCGCTTCCTCGGCTGCGTTCGCTTCTGAAACAGAGAGTGGGAGCGTGGAGATGTGCTCAGGGCCTTCTCCACACGAGGGCCCTTAAGGCATGGAGAGCCCCTAAAATGTGTTCTCGGAGGCTGAGCCTGACAGAGCTGCGTTTGCACGTGGCGCTGCAGGGCTCTGGAGACCGAGCGGCTCCTGGCTGACCTCCTGTGGGCGACTGCAGCTGTGGCGTAAGGCGAGGGGATGGAGCTGGGATCTACATTTTCCTGCTGCTGTGTGCAACGTGAGCGGCAGACAGCACCCAGCACCGGGCACGCCACGTGGCAGCAGACATTGTCTGTTCCCAGGGGAAGCCAAGCAGGGCCGAGAGAACTACTGACCCCGTTGGTAAATGGGGCACGCCAACAGCTTCAGCAAAGGCTCTGCTGTAAGATTCTCTCCTTGCTTCCTGGGGCAAGGGCAGGTTTCCTACCTGACCTATTTTCTCTCATTGCTATCCTGCTGCTGTTTGAGCTGAAGGAAGGAGCATGGCAGCGGCCAGGCGGATGCCCCAGATGTGAGGTGGTCTGCAGGGTTTATGGGGTGCTTGTGACAGGGTAGCAGCATGTGCCCAGACGGTGCCCCCCTCCCGTGAGAGCCGAGGGGCTGGCAGGCCGCCTACCTCGAGGGACATCGGTCAGGAAGAGGATGTTGTTAGTGGCGCATCCGATACTCGCAGCGATCCTCCGGTAGCTCTCGCTTTCTACCTTGGGGCCTATTTTGGTATCAAAGTGGCCATCGAAGAGCTGGAAGACAAGAGGAAAACCGAGGCAGTTGCTGGACGCTGCAAAGAGCAGAGCTACAGCTCGCTGCTGAGCGGTGATTCCTCTCCTTCCTGCTGCAGTGACGGCAGCTTCAGCCTCACGGCTCAGCCTGTTTTTTTTTTTTCCTGCAGGACTTGCCCCAGCAGGGACTGCCCCAGGCAGAGGGGATTTGTGTGGCACAGGTTTCAGATTTTTTCCATCCGAAACTTGGCTGACAAAAGCGTTACAGCAAGAGCAGTCCTGGGAGGGGACTGCTCTGCAGGCGGAGAAGCTGCAGGGAAGACGATAAGGTTATCTACCTCTAGGATATCACCTTCTGTAGAGTATCCGAACAGAAGCTTCTGGGCTTCGACGCTGCCCGAGGAGTAGATGTAGACCTTCATGCCAGCTTCCCTCCACTTCCTGATGGCTGGCACCACGTCCTCGAAGACTCTGAAGCAGAACGGGGCGGGAGGTGAGGACAAAGCCAGAGACACCTGGGGACAAACCTTGAGCACTGTTCCCAACAAAAGGGACTTTGTTTTAAAGGGCCTGAGGAGTTGGGACTCCCAACAGATGCACAAGGAGGTGCGGGATGGAGAGCTGTGCAGCCTTGTGGCAACCAGCTGGCCCCTTCCTCTCCAGTTTCTCAGCCATATGGTCACTGCCTTGCTGTGTTTATTCAAGAAATAAAATAAAAACCCCAACTTGTTCACTTTTTTTATGGCTACTCATTAGGGGTGTCTGGTACCAGATGAAAATCTTGCGAGGCTGCTGTACAGCACCTGCAAACCTCACTCCTTGGATGCTGCCAGGCAGCAAAGCTAAACCCACACATTTTGGGCCACTTTGAGATAATTCTCCCTGTTTATAAAAGAAACCTCAGGATGGCTGTGCCTCTTGACTCACTGTTCTGTTTTGTGCTGCTTTCTCTGGTGGACGTTTACATTTTTGGTTGAGCTACTCTTCCTCATTCTCGCCTTGAGAAAACACTTCATGAACATAAGGGTTTATTTTGCTTCCTGAGGAATCTGAAATGTGTGGTTTTAATGCGTAGTATCTCCGGGCATAAACAAGGAGATTGGCCTTAACTCCTGTGGTCCCTACTTCTGCACCCTGGTGTTGTGGCTGAGCCGTAAAGAAGAGCCCGAAGGCAGTAAGACGTGGAAAGGCAGAAAATGCCCGGGGAAAGCAGCAACGCAGGAAGGGAACAGCAGGAGGGACCTCACCCCCAGGCAGCCAAGGTGGAGGTCGCTACTCCTGCCATCCCGCCTCGTTGTGGGCTCGCTCCAAGACACAATCGCAACTCAGGGCTCAGATTAAGCCCAGCAGGGCTGCGTCTCACCGCCCACGGGCACCCAGCGCCTGCAGAGCTGTGTCTCAGGGCTACTCACTCTCCTTTCACCTGCCCTGTGGTGTAGGCCGCCCGCCAGATGTGCCCCTGCAGCTGCTTGAGCGCCGTGCTCTTCCTGTCCAGGGCCATCTGCCACAGCACGTTGTCCACCACAGCCTGGATCACCCTCTCCAGCTCCTCGTCCCCGTTCCCGCTCTCCACCGGGATGGGCACAGCCCCCTCCAGCCCGGCGTCCTCCTGGGCCTGCGGGGAGGCGAAGAAAAGGGTGGGGGTGGACGGGTTTTTGGGGTGGGGGGGGACCCGCGGCCTCGCGCCACGTGTGGCGAGGGCATGGCGCGGCGTGTGGCGGCCCCACCTGCTTCCTCAGCAGCCCCACGTCCCGCTGGCACTCCTCCTCCTCCCAGTGGGCGCGCAGGTAGGCCCCCACGTTGTCCCTCACGTAGGGGAACAGGGTCTCCTGCCGGCACACCGCGCCCTCAGCCCGAAAATACGCCCGGGCGGACACAAAGCTAAGATCCCCCCAAACGCACCCACGCTGCTGGAACCCTCCAAAATCTCTCACAACCTCCCAAACCCGCCCAAACCACTAAAACCCACACTTAACCCCCCCCCAACCACCCAGAGCACCAAAATCTGCCCAAACTGCTAAAGCCCACAACTGCCCAGCTGCTCCAAATGGCCAAAAAGCTCCCGTATCACCGACCCCCCCATCAACCAAACCCCCCTCAAGTTGCTAAAACCCGCCCAAATCACTAAAAACCCCAAACCCACCCACATCGCTAAAACCCACCCAAATCACTTAATATCCCCCAAACCCACCAAAAGCACCCAACCCCCCCCACATTGCTAAAACCCACTGAAATCACTTAAACCCCCCTAAACCCCCCAAAGTTCCCCATATCGCTAAAACTCCCCCAAATCACTTAAAACCCCCCAAACCCACCCAAACCACTAAAACCCACCAAAATCACTCAAAACCCACCCAAATCACTTAAAACTCCCAAAGCCCCCCAAACCCATCCTAATCACTTAAAACCCCTAAAACCTCCCAAACCCACCAAAACCACTTAAAACCCCCACGCCCCCCAAACCCATCCACATTGCTAAAACCCACCAAAATCACTAAAACCCACCAAAACCCCCCAAACCCACCCACATCGCTAAAACCCACCAAATCCTCATAAACCCCCCAAAACCCGCAACCCCCCCAAACCTCCCCAAACCGCTAAAACCCACCAAAATCACTTAACCCCCCAAATCCCCCAAACCTCCCCATATCGCTAAAACCCCCCAAAACCACTTAACCCCCCAAAACCCACAAACCCCCCCAAACCTCCCCAAACCATTAAAACACCCCAAAACCACTTAAACCCCCCAAACCCACACACGTTGCAAAAACCCACCCAAACCACTAAAACCCCAAAACCCCAAAACCCACACAAATCACTAAAACCCCCCAAAATCACTTAAAACCCCCCAAACCCCCCAAACCCCCTCACATCACTAAAACCCACCAAAACCACTTAAAGCCCCCAAAACCCCCAAACCATTCCCACATTGCTAAAACCCCCCAAACCCAAAACCCACCCAAACCACTAAAACCCCCAAACCCCCCAACATTGCTAAAACCCACCCAAACCACTAAAACCCCCCAAACCCCCAAACCCACCCAAACCACTAAAACCCAACGAAATCACTTAAAACCCCCAAAACCCCGCAAATCGCTAAAACCCACCAAAACCCCCAAACGCACCCAAATCGCTAAAATCCCCCAAAACCACTTAACCCCCCCAAACCCTCCAAACCCCCCTAAATCACTAAGCCCCTCAAACCCCCCCAAACCCCCAAACCCCGCCAAATCCCTAAAACCCCCCAAAACCCCCCAAAAAAAACCAAAACCCCCAAACGCCCCCAAACCCCCCAACCCCCCCCCACACCCCTGCACCCCCCCAATCCTCTCCACCGCCCCCATCCCCCCGGGAGCCGCCATCCCCGCGGTGCACCTTGACGAAGGCGATGGGGGTGGTGGTGCCCTCCACGTCCAGCAGGATGGCGCGCACCCCGGCCGGCACCGCCAGCACGCCCATGGCGGCGGCGGGGAGCGGGGCGCGGGGAGCGGGGCGCGGGGGGTGCGATGCGGGCGGGCGCCGCTGGGGGGCGCTGCTGGGCGGCGGGCGGCGGGCGGCGCTGATTGGCTGGCGCCGCGGGTATATAAGGGCGGGGCGGGCGGCGCCCGGCTCTCTTCCGCCGCCATTTTGCGCGCCGAGCGGGTCTCCGCCGAGCCTCTCCCCCCTCGCTGCAGCCCCCCCGCCATGGAGGACGCCCCCGAGATGAGCGGCGGCCCCGAGGAGTTCGCCGAGGGCTCCAAGATCAACGCCAGCAAGAACCAGCAGGACGACGGGTACGGGCGGGGGGGCGGCGGCCGCCGGTAGCAGCCCCCCCCCCCACCTCACGGCCCTCCCGCCTCACGCGGGGGGGGGGGGGGGGCGTTGTGGGGACGGGGCGGGGCCTGGTGAAGAGGGGCGGGGCTATACAGGAGGGGGTGGGGCTGCGGGTGTCAATCAGGCTGAACGACGTCCGGGATAGCCAATGGGAGCGCGGGGTGCCCGCGTTAAGCCCGCCCCCTCGGTCCCCTTAGGAAGATGTTCATCGGCGGGCTGAGCTGGGACACCAGCAAGAAGGACCTGACCGAGTACCTGTCGCGCTTCGGAGAGGTCGTGGACTGCACCATCAAGACCGACCCGGTGACAGGGCGCTCCCGCGGCTTCGGCTTCGTGCTCTTCAAGGACTGCGGCCAGCGTGGAGAAGGTGCGTGGGGCGGGCACGGCGCCCAGGCTGCTCATCTGCCACATACCCAGCGGGATGGGGTGTGGTGGCTGCCCCCCTGCTCAGACCATCTTCCCTTAGGTGCTGGAGCTGAAGGAGCACAAGCTGGACGGGAAGCTGATAGACCCCAAGAGAGCAAAAGCCCTCAAGGGGAAGGAGCCGCCCAAAAAGGTGTTCGTTGGCGGGCTGAGCCCGGATACGTCGGAAGAACAGATCAAGGAGTACTTCGGTGCTTTTGGCGAGGTACGGGGGAGCAGTGTGCTGACAAAAAGCTTTCAAGTGAGCGTTGTCCCTGTCTTAAGAGTGAGCAGGGTGTCTCCTTAGAATAAGAAAGCATCCCTCTCTGCAGTTGTGTAAAGTCTGCATCCATCAATAGCTCCTACTGGTGTGGTAGGCCTAGCTGCAGCTGTCAGTAGCTGTTACAGCTGTGGCTGTGTTAGTTCCCCTGATGAAACCTTCTGACCCTGCAGCTGAATGTCTGTAGCAGGTGGTCCTGACCATGGTCAGGTAATCCCACCTATTATGAGTGCAACTAGTTATTACTGCTAAAACTAGTGAGATAACCTCTGAAAGCTCTTCTTAAGCATGGGTGTTGGACTGATAAATAGTTCTGGTAGCACAAAAAGTTGGTTGCAGATGGCACGTAATTGACATATACTTGTAATTTCAGATTGAGAACATTGAGCTTCCCATGGACACCAAGACGAACGAAAGGAGGGGTTTCTGCTTTATTACATACACGGATGAAGAGCCAGTCAAGAAGCTACTAGAAAGCAGATACCATCAAATTGGTTCAGGCAAGGTAGGGATGCTGTCTTTGCAAGCTTGTGACATAGGCATTCTGTTGGCTTCCCTGAAAGCAGCTGACAGAAGAGTCTTGATATCCTTTCTGAGCATAAGGGTTTCTGTCTTAACAGTGTGAGATCAAAGTAGCACAGCCCAAAGAAGTGTACAGGCAACAGCAGCAGCAACAGAAAGGAGGAAAAAGCAATGCGTCTGGTGGACGAGGTGGTGGAAGGGGGCGTGGACGGGGTGAGTAGTTTGGATACTGGAATTCTTGTACATGTATTGAAGATCAAGGGTGTTCGCAGCTATGTACAGTTTTTGGATTGCATGTGGAACTTGTGTTTAAGAAGAAATCTCTTAGTAAATCTGATAGATTCAATTTTGGTGGTTGTAATAGTTTTTGGAAGCTAGCAAATTTTGGCTTGCATTGAAGCAGTCAAAGAGCAAGTGAGATGCAGGATATTTTTTAGTAGACCTACTTTCCATGGTCTAGCTCAATGCAATGTGCAGTTGTCCTTTTGTGTGAAGAGATGCACTGTTGGTCTTCTCCTGGGTGAGAAATCATGCTGGTTAAAGGGGCAGTCACTGTGCTACCCCTGGGAAAGAGGAGACAAGTCCAGCAGTTGTTGCGGGTTGTTGCATGTCAGGTTTCAAAAGTCAAGCAGGCCCAAGTAACGCATTAAAGTCTTTTGTGTGTTATAACTTGGTTCATTTAATTGTTGTAAAAAGAGAAGGATTATGGTATGCACTGCTGTTGTACATGCCTTGGCTTTGTTTTGTTTTCTTTGTTTTCTGCTGGATTGTTTATGAGCAGGGCTTGCGTGCTCTTTCTCCTAACATTTTCATGGCTGATTGTGTCTTAAAACACATCTCTGGTAGCCATCTGAAAGCAATCGATTTTTTTTAGGAAATGATTTTTCCTGTGTTGATAGGCAAGAGGGTTTTTGGAAGTAAGAGTTTTGGCACTGAAAAATGGCAAGTAAAAGTGCCCTACCAGAGGAGTGAGAAGTTAGCCAACTTAACAAAGTGTATGTTTGTTTTCAGGTCAGGGACAAAACTGGAATCAAGGATTTAATAACTATTATGATCAAGGATATGGAAACTACAATAGCGCTTACAGTGATCAAAGCTACAGTGGCTATGGAGGATATGACTACTCCGGGTACAACTATCCCAATTATGGATATGGGCCGGGATACACAGATTACAGTGGTAAATATTTTAAATTTCCTTCAAGATAACAATTGCATGGATCTTGAAATGGATCTTACTCCAAAGGCAGCATGGCTTGAGAAAGAGTAGACCTCTCTGGGGTGGTGTCCTGTATGGGAGAGATGGATGAGTAGGATGTTAATTTTCATGGCGTTTCCCCCTTTGTTTTCATGTTCAGGTCAGCAAAGCACGTATGGAAAAGCATCCCGTGGTGGCGGCAATCACCAAAACAACTACCAGCCATACTAAAGCAGTACCTAGACCTTGAGGAAACAGGTGTGTACATGAGCGCGAGGTCCACTCGAAGTATGCCTAATCTAATTTAAAGATCAATAGACAAATGAAGAGTAAAATCTTGCGTAGCGTGACTTTTTTCTTTAATTAAACTTTTTTGTTAACTTAAAATACTTTTTTTTAAAACCAGCTTTGCCTACCGTGTCTATAGATCTTTAACTTTGTAAAAATGTGACTTTATCTTCTTTAGTACTTCAGAAAAACATAAGAGTTTTTCTGTTTTGTGTTGTGTACCAGGTGGTCTAGAGGAATAATTAAACTTATTAGAAGTATTAACAGGTAAAGTACTGAAATGGGTACAACTTAAGGAAAACAAGAATGTTGTCTTCTAACTCTGACATTATACCTTGTTTGTACCCGCCAGCGGGAACTTCATTGCAGGCCGTGTGTCACCCTGACCACGTCTATCTCTGGGGTCGCACGTTGCAGGCAGAGCGCAAGGCATACACCAGAAAACGCTGTCCTGTGGTATGGTCTCTTCCAACTTCATGTACCAGCGTAAAGATTAAAGTGGAAAACTTCAGACTTTGGCTTCTTTTTTTAATCTTTTTGGAGATTTAAGTGTCTTAACTTAAATGGTTTTTTACAGGAGTTAAAGTACATAAATGCCTTTACAGCTTAATCATTTGGTCTTCTGTTTAGTGTTGTATTTCAATTGTGGAACCTCATTTTAAGTGTGCATTGTTTAAGATTTAATGCTTGCTTTTTTCTTTTTATAGCTAATAGTGAAATCTGCAAACCAAAACGAACTTTTAAATCTGGAAAGACATTAAAGATCATATGCACGTGGACTGTTGGAAGTAAAATGAGATCTGATTTGCCTTTGCGCAGCTGCTGCTGAGGCGGATAAGCACATGATTGGGAAACCCCTTCTTGGCGGTGTTTCCACTGGAAAACCTGATTCAGAGCCTGATTGACCATACAATTGGGATATGTGTAGTTCCGGAACAGCTTCCCGAATGGGCCAAGTGGCTAGATTTGGGAAGACAAATTTTTGACGGGTAACAAAACCTTGTGTTACCTTAGGAAATATGCATATGATCTTTAACAGTGACGAAAGGAATATATAGAAGACTTAAAGCAGTTCATGAAAATGGACCTTTTAACGATTCTTGTAGTACCTTGCGGAGTTCTGACATGCATTTTGTCTTGGTTTTTTAGGTGGAGATGCTGCAGCAAAGCCATCTTGCAGAGCATTGTGTGCGAGCGGAGGGTGGTCTTCGTGAGAGGAAATGACTATTTTGTAAAAGACTTTTAGTGTACGACACACAACTGTGTCCAACTGTATATAGCGGCCGGCTAGTTTTCTTTTATGGTTTTTACTTTCTTTTTGCCATTCATGTTATGACACAACGTGGACGTGTGTTTATACAAACTTTTATTTGTATAATTCCATGTTAGAGGATTCTCTAATAAACGCTTCCCCAAGTGAACGTGGTCCTGACATTGGCTGTGGAGTGAGGTGCGTGTGGTTATGTATAACCTGATTTTTTTTTTTCCCTTCTGTGGAGGGGCAGGAGCAGTGCTGGACAGGTGGAGAAAGGTGGGTGTGCACACAGGTGCACTGCAGCTGCTGTTTTAAGAAAAAGTAAGGATGGAGAAGAGTATTTAGAGGAGGGGAGTAGTTTTTTGGGAAAAAAACTACTGTTTTAAGGGAGGAGACTGTTGTGGCTGTGGAGGAGGCTTTGTCTTTAGGAGGTGGCAAGAGCTGAAGCGCCAACTGTTCCCCCGCAGACCCAACTTGTGTTTGTGACTGAGGGAAGGGGACTGAGGGCTGAAGGCAGTGCTTCCCTGCCCTCGCAGGGCACTATATCCTCAAAAAGACAGCCTCCCCCCGCAGTGATCGTGTTTTCCTCCTTCCTCCTGTCCCCGTTCCCCTCAGCGCTCCCTGAGGCGGGCCGGGCGCCGCCATGGCGTCACGTGGCGCGGGGCTCCTTCCGCCCGCCATTTTAGGCTGTGTCGGCGGCGGCGCCATTAAGACGAGAGGGCGGCGGGCGGACGGCTCGGGCCGGGGGCCGCCAGCGGGGCGGGCGCCATGTCGGAGCAGCACTTCGCCCTGGACGCGGCCGGCGGCGGGGGCGGCCCGGCCGAGCAGGCGGAGCAGCCTGAGGGGCTGGCGGGGGCCGGCGCGGGGGGCGCCGACGGGGCTGGAGGCGGCGGCGGGGGCGAGTCGGAGGGAGCCAAGATCGACGCCAGCAAGAACGAGGAGGACGAGGGGTGAGCGGGGGGGAAACGGCGCCGGGGGAGCGCCAGGCTCCCAGCCAGCCTCGGCCATGCCTGTGAAAAGAGGGGCAGGGGCTGTGGGGCTGGGGGCTGCAGCGCCGTGAGGTGGGCTCTCCTCAGGGAGCTCATGAGGCAAGAGTGATTTTTTTCAGGTAGAAAATACACCAAAAAACAGCTAAAGGAGCAGGAGCTGCGTGTGTCCTGTCAGGACTTGCCTTTTGTAATGAACCCGGGTGCTGCTGACAGCACGGGGACGCGGTTGTGCTTTGCGCCTTCCCGGTGCTGCTGGGAGCCTGGATGTTACCCTCGCTGCTTCCTACCCCAAGTGTCTCGCTTTAATTCTGTCACCGTTTTCGTATTTGTTCTGCCTTTGCCTCTCCAAGGGTTGCATGAGGACGTGCGCTTGTTTTTGAGTCAGCGCAGCCCCTCAGGAGTTGTCCCTGCGGGGATGCGGGGCACTGAGCGCGCTGTGGGGTGCCTCAGCCTGTGGGTGAGTTCAGCCTAACAGAGAGAGCAGTGCCTGACCTGCCACTTGTTGGTAACGCTGGGTGGGAAACTGCTCTTGACAGCTCTGGGAGGCAGAGGGAGGACAGTGTGCTCTCAGCAGGTGCTGGATGGAGGTACGATCCCTTTATGTTATGATTCCTTTACGTTAGGAATTGGAGACAGGATTTCCAGCAACAGTGTGCACCCTCAAGTTTTCCCAGGTGCAGTCCTTGTACTTCAGCTATCCCGGAGTTGGCAGCTGCTGGGAAACACCCCGATCAGGCAGCTGGAGAAGGGCCACAGCCAGCCACCGCTTCTGTGTATGCTCAGTTTAGCCACGTCCGAAGCTTGGAAGCTTGGCCAGTGCCCTTCTGGTGACCTGTTTTGGGAAAATGTGCACTGATGTGACTTGGACCAGCCAAGCCGTGGTTTGGGAAGGACGCGTGTTTTGCTGGCTTTTGGCAGCACAGTGGCACGGCTCGTAATCCTCATTTGTGGTCCTGTGGGTGTCGTAGCCTTGCTTTGGCCTCAGCTTTGCAGTGGAGCTGAAAAACTTTTGCTGTAGCAGAAAGCTGAAGCAGTTAGGTTTTGCTGCTCTGTGACTGCAGTCACATATTTGGTTTTTGCACGGTGCTGGGGAAATCCTTCAGAAGGGCGTGAATTTCAAACTCCTGGTTTGGGTCTTGCAGGGTGTTGTAGTTTGTGTGAATTGCTCTGCTGACAGCTGTAAGAGGGATGTTTCCTATGGCACGTAGCCCGTGTGCGTTCTGCAGGAACTGCTCCAGTGTCAATGTCTCCCATGTGTCAGAAACACAATGCTGCACCCTCGGCGTGTGTTGTGCTTTGCTGCTTAGAAAAAACACACGGCAACAAACAGGACGACTGGTAGTGATGTCAGGCTTTCTTTGGGTGACTGGACCCTGCAGGTCGGAGGCTGCTGTTTTACCAGCACGGTCCGTTTGTTCATGTCACTCCCCAAAACAGGAAGAGGTCACCGAGGTGGGGCAGCCAGTGCTTTTTGGAGAAAGAGAGCTGGAACTAACGGGAGAGGTGAATAAAGGTAGGGTGCTCCTGTTGATAGATAGAAAAACTACGTGGAAACAGATGAAGCTTCAGAAGCCTGCTGCGTCTGGAGGTTCAAGACGATTGTCAGAGGCTGAGCCTTCCTGTTTGTTTCATAAGAGCACAGCCGGTTAGCGAGGCTTGGGGTGAGTTCAGACGAGCAGCCTGGGTTTGGGAGGGCTGGACCTGTGGGAGCGGGGATGGCCGCGTGCATGCGGCACGTGCAGGAGATGGAAGCGCGCCTGGGTGCTCGTGCAGGTCGGCCGAAAACGGTGCGTGGCGTTGTGAAATACGTCGGCAGAGCTGTGGAGAAAACGTTTTGACACATCTCCGTGGATCGTATCTTTGTTTCTGAGACTGGCACAAAATCTTCTTTATCAGCATTAGAAGAGATCATCGCAGAACGAATCCTCCTCGAATGAGAGCATCAGCCTCGTGCCTGATGGCTGGGGCATTGCGTTCCTGCGCTCGTTGGCTTGATTTTCAGTTGATGCAAGTCGTCAAGCATTTCCTTCAGTGGTGCCTGAGTTTTTTGTGCCACTCGGCTGTTTCCAGACGGTCATGGTTTGGATCCAAGCTTCCAGCGTGCTTGTATAATCACAAGTCATGACTAAAGCTGCCTTTCGTACCCGTTTGCCCAGCGGCGCTGCTCCTGTAAACAGTCTGCAGGGAAGTTGTTCTGGGGATTGGTTTGGAGTATGCCAGCTGTTTATATCCCGTTTTGGGGAGGAAAAGTTAGCTTTGAGCATCCAGTGCTTAGCTTTTTTACACCTTTCTGGGGGAGCAGACTCGACTACACTTCTTTATTTGTTTTCTGGTGTACTCGTGCTGGCATGTGTGCATTCCAGGCAAGTGTGTCAGTGCTCCTGGGTACCCGTGCTGCCTTACACACATATCAGTCCTGCGTCTGCTTCACAAACAGCTGTGGGGGGCTTCGCAGAGACCCCTGTGGGTTAAGCCTGTGGGCCAGTAGCGACGGGGTTGCAAGGAGGTAGCAGTACAGCTTCGCATTGTGGCTTCTTGGGGCAGCGACATGAACAACTGCAGCGGAAGGTTGCGCAGGGCTGCTGCAAGCCTGCAAGCCTCTATCTGTTCTGGCCAGGATCGTTCCAGCAGCATGTCAAAAAGTGCAGGGCCGCCTGGGGTGTCACTGATAAAGCCCTGCTACTCCTCACATGAGGTAGCCGAGCTCGTAAAGCTTGATGGCCTGGGATCTTAGGTGAAATGTCTTAACGGGCTGACCTTCTTGTCTCTGCAGGAAGATGTTCATTGGCGGCCTCAGCTGGGACACTACAAAGAAAGACCTGAAGGACTACTTCTCTAAATTCGGCGAAGTGGTAGACTGCACTCTGAAGTTAGACCCCATCACTGGGCGATCGAGAGGCTTCGGCTTTGTGCTCTTCAAAGAATCGGAGAGCGTCGATAAGGTAGAGTTAATGTAATCAAACAGCACCTTAAATTGGAGTCCGCAAAGGTGCAGCACTCAGGTGACTGCACACACAGCTGTTTGCATGTGATCTGCTATGGGTGATTTTGGGATGCAGCCTATTTAAGATGCTGTTTATGGAGATGTTCTTTTCCCACACCGTCTTAGTTGTGCCGCAGTGGCTGGGAGCAGCAGATGAAACCCTTCTTTACTTTATGAGGTGGGAGGAGGGGATTGTGCAGAGCTTTCTAGGAAATGTTATGTCCATAGTTCCTTGGGCGATAAGTGGCTGCAGGTTATTCCTTAAAGGCTTTAGCAGAACTGTCTGTGTCAGCGGACAGTGATCAAAATCAAGGAACAGTTTGGGTTTGTGGAACGGATAATCACTGGAATAAAAATATTGCAACTGAAGTGCTAGCATTACCAAAGCTCAAGTATGAATTAGCTGAGCCTTGCTCAAAACCACAGTGAAACATTTAGCTTGAACTGTGAATAAGGTCTTGTTTGAATTTTCCCCAGGTCATGGACCAGAAAGAACACAAGCTGAATGGGAAGGTCATTGATCCTAAAAGAGCTAAAGCCATGAAAACAAAAGAACCCGTCAAAAAGATTTTTGTTGGGGGCTTATCTCCAGACACACCCGAAGAGAAAATAAGGGAATACTTTGGAGGATTTGGTGAGGTACGTGGCAAAATAAATTGCTCTGTCTTCGTGAATTCGGTAATTAAGGACAGCCCCTAAACGCAGTCTCGTTTGAAGCTATGGTGAGCTTAATGGCCAGTGCAATTCCACGTGCTTTGCTTCTCAGAATCTCAACGATAAGGGTGTCACATGGAGGCTGGGATGTGCAGGGGCTGGTCATGTGAACGGGGTTATTGGAAGGAGGAGCTGGGGCACGTCAGAGACTTGGGACCTGATCTGCGGGATGCCTGAATGGCTCGAGTGGGGCAGGCGTGGGAGGCCTGGTTTCAGAGCATGCTGCGTGGGTTAGCTGCCTGAGATGCTCATCTGCTGCGGCAGGGGTTCAGGCAGTTCTCTGAAATTCTCTGCAACTCTATATTCTGGCTCTCTGTCCCCTGTTTTGGTGGTGCAGGTGGATTGTCAGCAAATACCACTTCGGAGCTTTAAAGCTGCCCTGGGGGAGCTTGGTCAGGGTGAAGGGAGTTGGCAGCAGCTTAGATTGTAAGAGGTTGCCAGCATCAGGTTGTGACAGCTCAGCTGTCGGGGAGCTGGGTT